ATCAGCTCTTCCATACAGCATAGCTCTTCCATGTTCCAGTACTGATGATCAGCTCTTCCACACAGCATAGCTCTTCCATGTTCCAGTACTGATGATCAGCTCTTCCACACAGCATAGCTCTTCCATGTTCCAGTACTGACGATCAGCTCTTCCACACAGCATAGCTCTTCCATGTTCCAGTACTGATGATCAGCTCTTCCACACAGCATAGCTCTTCCATGTTCCAGTACTGACGATCAGCTCTTCCACACAGCATAGCTCTTCCATGTTCCAGTACTGACGATCAGCTCTTCCACACAGCATAGCTCTTCCATGTTCCAGTACTGATGATCAGCTCTTCCATACAGCATAGCTCTTCCATACAGTGCCTTGCAAAAGTATTCAGACCCCTTGGATTTCTTCACAGTTGTGTTATAAAGTGGGATTAAAATTGATTTAATGGTAATTTTGTCGTCACTCAATCTACACAAAATACTATATCAAAGTGGAATAAATATATATTTAAGATGAATACAAATGTAATAACTAAAATAGTAATTGCATAATTATTCAGCTCCCTGAGCAAAGACATGTTAACAACACCTTTGGCATCGAAGTCTAAAAAGAGCTTTGCATACCTAGACAATATTTGCCCATTATTCTTAAAAAAATTATTCAATCTCTGTCAAGATGTTAGTGATCATTGCTAGACAGCAATTTAAGTCTTGCCATAGATTTTTTATTTATTATTTTCATGTAGATTTAAGTCAAAACTGTAACTCGGCCACTCAGGAACATTCACTGTCTTCCTGGTAAGCAACTCCAGTGTAGATTTGGCCTTGTGTTTTAGGTTATTGTCCTGCTGAAAGGTGAATTCATCTCCCAGTGTCTGGTGGAAAGCAGACTGAACCAGGGTTTCCTCTAGTCTCCCAGTGTCTGGTGGAAAGCAGACTGAACCAGGGTTTCCTCTAGTCTCCCAGTGTCTGGTGGAAAGCAGACTGAACCAGGGTTTCCTCTAGTCTCCCAGTGTCTGGTGGACAGCAGACTGAACCAGGTTTTCCTCTAGTCTCCCAGTGTCTGGTGGAAAGCAGACTGAACCAGGGTTTCCTCTAGTCTCCCAGTGTCTGGTGGAAAGCAGACTGAACCAGGGTTTCCTCTAGTCTCCCAGTGTCTGGTGGACAGCAGACTGAACCAGGGTTTCCTCTAGTCTCCCAGTGTCTGGTGGAAAGCAGACTGAACCAGGTTTTCCTCTAGTCTCCCAGTGTCTGGTGGACAGCAGACTGAACCAGGGTTTCCTCTAGTCTCCCAGTGTCTGGTGGACAGCAGACTGAACCAGGGTTTCCTCTAGTCTCCCAGTGTCTGGTGGAAAGCAGACTGAACCAGGGTTTCCTCTAGTCTCCCAGTGTCTGGTGGAAAGCAGACTGAACCAGGGTTTCCTCTAGTCTCCCAGTGTCTGGTGGAAAGCAGACTGAACCAGGTTTACCTCTAGTCTCCCAGTGTCTGGTGGACAGCAGACTGAACCAGGGTTTCCTCTAGTCTCCCAGTGTCTGGTGGACAGCAGACTGAACCAGGGTTTCCTCTAGTCTCCCAGACAGCAGACTGAACCAGGGTTTCCTCTAGTCTCCCAGTGTCTGGTGGACAGCAGACTGAACCAGGGTTTCCTCTAGTCTCCCAGTGTCTGGTGGAAAGCAGACTGAACCAGGGTTTCCTCTAGTCTCCCAGTGTCTGGTGGACAGCAGACTGAACCAGGGTTTCCTCTAGTCTCCCAGTGTCTGGTGGACAGCAGACTGAACCAGGGTTTCCTCTAGTCTCCCAGTGTCTGTTGGACAGCAGACTGAACCAGGGTTTCCTCTAGTCTCCCAGTGTCTGTTGGACAGCAGACTGAACCAGGGTTTCCTCTAGTCTCCCAGTGTCTGGTGGAAAGCAGACTGAACCAGGGTTTCCTCTAGTCTCCCAGTGTCTGGTGGAAAGCAAACTGAACCAGGTTTTCCTCTAGTCTCCCAGTGTCTGGTGGACAGCAGACTGAACCAGGTTTTCCTCTACTCTCCCAGTGTCTGGTGGACAGCAGACTGAACCAGGTTTTCCTCTAGGATTTTGCCTGTGCTTAGCTCCATCCCGTTTCTTTTTATCCTGAAAAACTCCCCAGTATTTGCCGATGTCAAGCATACATTTTACATTTACATTTTTTGTCATTTAGCAGACGCTCTTATCCAGTTAGTGAGTGCATACATTTGATTTTTATCCCACTGTGTAAAACTACAATGAGAATAAATCCACAGGGTCTGAATACCTTTGCAAGGCACTGTAGCTCTTCCATCCAGCAGCACCTCTCCACCGTGCCAAGTGGCTACGCAAAGCTGCAGGTGGAAAGGCGCTATATAAATGCAATCAATGACTTATCAATACATACTGTATACATGCAGCGGTCACAACCCCCTAGTCGATTGACGCACCGGTGCTAAGTAACATAATTTTTTAAAATCCCATAGAAAAATCGGTCAGTTTAAGCTAGAGATATCTGTTTCAATCCACCGCATCCGTCGATGAGTCTTCCTTTCCTGCGGCGGTCCTCATGAGAGCCAGCTTCATCATAGCGCTTGATGGTTTCCAAAGTTGTTGACATTTTCCGGGGGGGGGGGGGGGGGGGGGGGGGGTCTACAGAAGATAGCCCTATTTGGTTTAAGACCAAGTCCATATTATGGCAAGAACAGCTCAAATAATCAAAGAGAAATGACAGTCCATCATTACTTTAAGACATGAAGGTCAGTCAATACTGAACATTTCAAGAACTTTGAAAGTTTCTTCAAGTGCAGTCACAAAAACCATCAAGCCCTATGATGAAACTGGATCTCATGAGGACCGCCACAGGAAAGGAAGACCCAGAGTTACCTCTGCTGCAGAGGATAAGTTCATTAGAGTTACCAGCCTCAGATTGCAACCCAAATAAATGCTTCAGAGAGTTCAAGTAAGAGACACATCTCAACATCAACTGTTCATAAGAGACTGTGTGAATTAGGCCTTCAAGGTCGAATTGCTGCAAAGAAACCACTACTAAAGGACACCAATAAGAAGAGACCTGCTTGGGCCAAGAAACACGAGCAATGGACATTAGACCAGTGGAAATCTGTCCTTTGGTTTGATGAGTCCAAATTTGAGATTTTTGGTTCCAACCGCTGTGTCTTTGTGAGACGCGGTGAACGGATGATCTCCGCATGTGTATTTCCCACCATGAAGCATGGAGGAGGAGGTGTGGGGGTGCTTTTACTGGTGACACTGTCAGTGATTTATTTAGAATTCAAGATACACTTAACCAGCATGGCTACCAAAGCATTCTGCAGTGATACGCCATCCCATCTGGTTTGGGCTTAGTGGGACTATCATTTGTTTTTCAACAGGACAATGACCAAACACACCTCCAGGCTGCGTAAGGGCTATTTGACCAAGAAGGAGAGTGATGGAGTGCTGCATCAGATGACCTGGCCTCCACAATCCCCCGACCTCAACCCAATTGAGATGGTTTGGGATGAGTTGGACCGCAGAGTGAAGGAAAAACAGCCAACAAGTGCTCAGCACATGTGGGAACTCCTTCAAGACTGTTGGAAAAGCATTCCAGGTGAAGCTGGTTGAGAGAATGCCAAGAGTGTGCAAAACTGTCATCAAGGCAAAGGGTGGCTCCTTTGAAGAAGATGAAATATATTTTGATTTGTTTAACACTTTTTTGGTTACTACATGATTCCATATGTGTTATTTCATAGTTGATCTCTTCACTATTATTCTACAATGTAGAAAATTGTTAAAATAAAGAAAAACCCTTGAATGAATAGGGGTGTCAGAAACATCTCTGGTGGGAAAACGGGCATATTGTTTTTATGCAGATTTTAGAATAGTCGCATGAGAGTCTTTCGCCAATTGAATGGAAACCTAGCTAGGTTCCCTAATGGCTGGAACTGAGCGAATGGAATGGCAACCATGTGTGTGATGTATTTCATACCATTCCACTCCAGCCATTACCACGAGCCCGTCCTCCCAATTAAAAAGGTGCCACCAACCTTGTGATGTATTTCAGACCATTCCACTCCAGCCATTACCACGAGCCCGTCCTCCCAATTAAGGAGCCACCAACCTCCTGTGGCAGACACCATGTAAAATATAATCTCCACTAGCAGTCCGTTCAATCTTCTCGGTGGAAAAGTTGGGATAATGGGACAAGTCCGAGTACAGCGTACCTTTCATCCCTGGATTGGGGTACATGTTCAGAGCCATACCTCGCTCCAGCGCGTCTGTAAACTGGGGGTTCGATCTGCTGGCTAGGGGCTGCCCATCTGCATTTACCCTATTGGCCTAATCATTAGCTAGATCCCAGATGTGATCTTTTAACTAGTTAGCATCATATTGATGAATTTTAGGTTCCAAGACAACTTGCATAAAAACACAGCAAATATAATGTAGCCTTTCCTATCAGGGTAACTTGCCTTCTCACAGAAACCACTTAAATGTCACAATTTTTCACCAACACAATTTTTTAAGTCACTCCAAAAACGGAGGTAGGGAGGCGTTTTACTTAAAGTTACAATTGACCAGTCATATATTTAGCCCCACTCTCCGATGCACTCACGGCGAATTGCGGAGCTTTTTCTTAATGTTGCAGTTCGCGCATATTTAGGAATTGAGAAATAAATAAACGAGGAACGGAAATCTGGGATCCAATCTTTTTAACAAAGGTAATTAAAACTGCTGATTTCCCCGCAATTGCAAGAATTGTTGTGCATCAACTGCTTGTCAGAATGCATGTCGCTCTCCCTCGTAACTTCAATGCGCCTGGAGAGGAATATTTATCTCATAGAACACAACAAGCCCACTAGCTAAATAGATCAACTATTCTACTACGGGGTTGTTTTATATTCATTACCAATTTTGTTTGCAGAGGATAAGTAAATGTGGTAAGAAATGAAAGGGTGATTGGAGCCAACACCCACCATCTCAGGAGTGATGTATTTGAGGTCCTGGTGTTTTCCCTGCACGGTGGACAGGACAAAGGGTTTGGTGAAATCTCCAATCAGCTCCTTGTCCAGCAGCTTCTCAATCTCTGTGTGGTTACAGAACGATTTGGAGCGCTGGATGTGGTGCTCGGAACACACCTGGATGGGGGCGAGAGGAGAGAGGGTTTGGTCATTTCAGGGGCTAATGTAGAATAACAGCAGTAGCTGGTAATGTAGAATAACAGCAGTAGCTGGTAATGTAGAATAACAGCAGTAGCTGGTAATGTAGAATAACAGCAGTAGCTGGTAATGTAGAATAACAGCAGTAGCTGGTAATGTAGAATAACAGCAGTAGCTGGTAATGTAGAATAACAGCAGTAGCTGGTAATGTAGAATAACAGCAGTAGCTGGTAATGTAGAATAACAGCAGTAGCTGGTAATGTAGAATAACAGCAGTAGATGGTAATGTAGAATAACAGCAGTAGATGGTAATGTAGAATAACAGCAGCAGCTGGTAATGTAGAATAACAGCAGCAGCTGGTAATGTAGACTAACAACAGTAGATGGTAATGTAGAATAACAGCAGTAGATGGTAATGTAGAATAACAGCAGTAGATGGTAATGTAGAATAACAGCAGTAGATGGTAATGTAGAATAACAGCAGCAGATGGTAATGTAGAATAACAGCAGTAGATGGTAATGTAGAATAACAGCAGTAGATGGTAATGTAGAATAACAGCAGTAGATGGTAATGTACAGTGACTTCAGAAAGTATTCACACCCCTAGACATTTTCCACATTTTGTTGTGTTACAAAGCAGGATTAAAATGGATTTTGTCATTTTTTGTTAACGATCTACACAAAATACTCTGTCAAAGTGGAAGAAAAATTCTAACATTTGTAAAATAACACACAGAGTGTACAAAACATTAGGAACACCTTCCTACTATTGAGTTGCACCCCCCCACCCCCTTTTGCCCTCAGAACAGCCTCAATTCACCAGGGCATGAACTCTACATGGTGTCAAAAGCATTCCACAGGGATGCTGATCCATGTTGACTCCAATGCTCCCCACAGTGGTGTCAAGTTGACTGGATGTCCTTTGGGTGGTGGATCATTCTTGATACACCTACTACCATACCCCGTTCAAAGGCACTTAAATATTTTGTCTTGCCCATTCACTCTCTGAATGGCTCACATACACAATCCATGTCTCAATTGTCTCAAGGCTTAAAAATCCTTCTTTAACCTGTCTCCTCCCCTTCATCTTCACTGACTGAAGTGGATTTAACAAGTGACATCAATAAGGGACCATAGCTTTCACCTGGATTCACCTGGTCAGTCTGTCATGGAAAGAGCAGGTGTTCCTAATGTTTTGTACCCTCAGTGTATCTCGATTAGATAAGTATTCTCTCTCTTTCCTCTTGTTTTCCTTAAATAGTATGTCGGTGGGCGGAGCCAGGAGGGTCATCAGCTAAATGGGACACACCTGGGCTCGGGTGTGTCCTGGGGATAAATACACCTTTCCCCCGTACGTCGAGGAGACTCTCCACGCAGAAACACTTGTTTTTGGTTGTGGCATTTTGGGGGCTTCTCAACACCCCTCATTATCACCATCTATGCACACTTCCACTGCTGACTACTCACACCATTGTTACTTGGATATCGTTACTTTATTTAATAATATGTTTGTGATTCCTTTATCTCTGTGTTGTCTCCCTCTTTGTTACGGGCTACGAGCCGGTTCGTAACACAACAATACCCATAACATGATGCAGCCACCACTATGCTTGACAATATGGAGAGTGGTACACGGTAATGTGTTGTATTTTATTGGCCCCAAACATAAGACTTTGTATTCATGACCAAAAGTTAATTGCTTTGCAAAATTATTTTCAGTATTACTTTAGTGCCTTGTTGCAAACAGGATGCATATTTTCCAATATTTTGTATGTGCAGGCTTCCTTCTTTTCACTCTGAAAAGACATTGGGCAGGAAGTACTAGGAGCAGGTGACTGTAGGGGGTGGAGACATTGGGCAGGAAGTACTAGGAGCAGGTGACTGTAGGGGGTGGAGACATTGGGCAGGAAGTACTAGGACCAGGTGACTGTAGGGGGTGGAGACATTGGGCAGGAAGTACTAGGAGCAGGTGACTGTAGGGGGTGGAGACATTGGGCAGGAAGTACTAGGAGCAGGTGACTGTAGGGGGTGGAGACATTGGGCAGGAAGTACTAGGAGCAGGTGACTGTAGGGGGTGGAGACATTGGGCAGGAAGTACTAGGACCAGGTGACTGTAGGGGGTGGAGACATTGGGCAGGAAGTACTAGGAGCAGGTGACTGTAGGGGGTGGAGACATTGGGCAGGAAGTACTAGGACCAGGTGACTGTAGGGGGTGGAGACATTGAGCAGGAAGTACTAGGAGCAGGTGACTGTAGGGGGTGGAGACATTGGGCAGGAAGTACTAGGAGCAGGTGACTGTAGGGGGTGGAGACATTGGGCAGGAAGTACTAGGAGCAGGTGACTGTAGGGGGTGGAGACATTGAGCAGGAAGGTACCATCTTGCTGGGAGAGCGGTCGTCCTGGTCCATGGTGGTGGCACGAGTTTCCGCCAGGCTGCGTCGTCTCTTCACCCTGACCGGAGTGTTCTGGTCCTGGGGACGCTTCAGAGGGACGCGGCCCACCTGGCTGGGCATGGAGGGCGAGCGGAACAGACCCCGCGGCCGACAACCAACCACCGGCTGAGGAAGAGGAGGACAAAGACGAAGTTAGTTTGATGCTACTGTGGACAAGCCCTGGCACGGACTGTGCTGATAGTGGTCGTTATGGTACTGGTTCCTACTGAACCTAGTTGAACACCGACGGTGTTGCTCTGGATAAGGGCCACAGTTAAAGGAGAAGTTTACCCAGAATTCAGAAACTGCCAAGTGATTCCATACATTGAAACTAGTTTAGTTTGGCCTCTCCCCATGTGGTAGTGTACTGACACAGCTGCAAAAACGGGTCACGTGACTCATGACGTTGCTGGTTGCAGGCCTCGCTCTGCTCCGGTGCCAGTGAATTCATGATTCAGAAATCCGAAGTGTGGACAAATTCGTTGGTTTTATTGAAAGCGTACGGCCGAATGAGCTACTTTTGTCAAAAGTAGTATTGGTTGTAAGTTGTAAGAGAGGGGGGAGAGAGGGGGGGAGGAGGGGGGGGGGGGGGGGAGAGGGGGGAGGAGAGGGGGGGGGGGGGGGGGGGGCAACTCCACTGAACTGGTTTCAATGTATGGAATCTCTTTGGAATTTCTGGATTTTTGGTAAACTTCCTTTCAACTACTAAAATGTAAAATGACTGGTTCGGTTGACCTCAAAGACAGGCAGACATCCATACCGTGTCATCTCCTGCCGCGTTGCCGTCCCTCACTAGCGGAGCGGTCAGCAGGCTGGACATCCCCATGGGCATGTCACACTGCTCACAGTCATCCAGAACGTCAAGGAAACCGTCGTCATCGTCAAGGGAGCAGCGATGCAGGAACACGGGGCTTCTGTCGTCCAATGAGCTGAGGCGTTGGGACGGGGATAGCTAGAGGGAGAAAGATCGGTGCAACAGAAGGGTTAACGGATGTCGTCTGAACGTCACCACAACCGCTGGACCACAGTCATGTTTTGATGATGTGTGACTGTCAGTAAGTGTGTGTGAGTCTCAAAGCATTAGCCACCATGAGGGGCTTGGCTAAAAGGTGTGTGTGTGTGTGTGTGTGTGTGTCCGTGCTACCCACCATGAGTGCTGGGGCAGAGCTGGGCCAGCGGGCATCGTCCTTGTTCTGTCCTCCTCCACTATGGAAGGACCTCATACGGCAGGGGGACATGGCCTTGGAGGGCTTCTTAAACTCAAACCCCTCCTCCTGGTTCTCCTTGTTGCCCTGTCCACCGTGACCGCTGTGCCCAGAGGAGGTGGCTGCATCCTTGGCTGGGCCGAGCCGTCCAAAGTCCCCGTAGAAGTGCTGATCCTGGCTCTCTTGGACCGGACCCTTCAGAGCCGGGCTGAAGTCCAGCAGCTGCAGTGGCAGAGAGTTGATTCTTCGGATTGGCATTTTTCTGTAAGTGGGGAAGAGGAGCATGGATGGACCAGTCACTAAGCAACACTGTCAGTAACCATGGATGGACCAGTCACTAAGCAACACCGTCAGTAACCATGGATGGACCAGTCACTAAGCAACACCGTCAGTAACCATGGATGGACCAGTCACTAAGCAACACCGTCAGTAACCATGGATGGACCAGTCACTAAGCAACACCGTCAGTAACCATGGATGGACTATCATTAATATAGAAAAGAGGAAACCACTCCCCAGACAGCAATATAGGGTCAAATGAGTCTTAAAAACAGCTATTAATTGAGTGGTCATTGAGCACGAGGGACTAAGTACTTACTCATTGACAGCTCCTCCAGACTGGAGAATGGCCTTCTCAAACCTGCCAGAGACAAACATTTACATTCAGCGACAGACCAATTTATTGAGATCCCTGCCCTACACAGTGAAAGGACCCTGGCAGCCTTCGCCACTAGCCAGGCCAGAAGAGGTCTGCAGCTAAACTAAACTACCCTGGCTGGCTCTATTGAAGAAGGACAGAGGACCAACGGTTGTAGCCGAGTATAGAGAGAGGGGCAAGAGGTGGCCTCTCCTTATCGCTGTGCAACAGAGCAGAGCAATGCCCACCTATAGGCTAAATAAGCAGCGAGGGGAGGAAAGGAGCGCTGAGTAGAGTGGGGGAGTACAGACAGACAGAAGAGAAAGGAAGTGACCCGTTTCAGGAAACTAGGCGTATGTCACACGTCACTCCTTCACTGGAGGCATTTGAACGTATTTGTTATTTTATCAAAATGCATTTTTGGGCAGAAATGCCTTCTGGAACACGTGAACTTTCACGTGCCTTAATAACACACTTCTATTCCATCTGTAAATACAAATAAAAATGGTTAAATTAGTTTAGCCAGGGAAAAAGACAGGAACCTTCCCGCTAGCCATGATTGGCTGAGATAATGGATGGGCTGGACATGCCGGGAGATGAGTTGGGATTGGTCTGCCATGTAGCATCCTTCTGTCTATAACGTGAGCTGCTCAGTATGTGTTGATAATCATTTCTACCGCAGCTTTTTTTAAACGTAACTTTAGCCATCGAGAACTACAAACATTTCTCTACAACATTGATGCCCTGAATTTAGCAGGCGCTATCGACAGATCAGTTGGGAAAAGTTGTGATGGGCTACTTTCTGCACACGCCACTGTCAGTGTGAACCGGAGTGACGTGACACAACGCTGGCCAAACAAGACGTAGCTACAAACAAAACAAGAGTTGAAATGGTTCCAGTCTGCCGTGACGCGTTCATCCATGTATACGGGTAAGAGTCTAGCTACGTTTTCAGATATTATACGTTTCTAATTTTGACAGAAAGTCGTTTTCATTGCAAGTTAAAGCGTACTGTTAGCTAGCAAGCGTAGGTTAGCTCGCTAGCTAACGTTACCTTTATGATCTGTGTCGTAATATTACTTGAAACCGAGTTTTGTAACTCAACAGAATGCCACAGATTTCTCAAGTTTAAAGGAGCGTGCAATTGGCATGCTGACTGCAGGAATGTCCACCAGACCTGTTGCCAGATTTCCTTAGATGACCTGTAACTCAGTAAAATCGTTTAAATTGTTGCGTTTATATTTGTGTTCAGTATAGTTGTAGCCTAATGCTAGCTAGCTTACATTGACCCTAGTTGGTTAGCTTTAGCTACCTGCAGATTCATACTACAGCTAAGACAATCATTTTATTTTATTTTTTTAATGTCACCTTTATTTAACCAGGTAAGCCAGTTGAGAACAAGTTCTCATTTACAACTGCGACCTGGCCAAGATAAAGCAAAAGCAGTGTGATAAAAACAACACATAGTTACATATGGGGTAAAACAAAACATAAAGTCAAAAATACAACAGAAAATCTATATACAGTGTGTGCAAATGTAGCAAGTTATGGAGGTAAGGCAATAAATAGGCCATAGTGCAGAATAATTACAATTAGTATCAACACTGGAATGCTAGATGTGCAAGAAATTATGTGCGAATAGAGATACTGGGGTGCAAATGAGCAAAATAAATAACAATATGGGGATGAGGTAGATGGGTGGGCTAATTTCAGATGGGCTGTGTACAGGTGCAGTGATCGGTAAGGTGCTCTGACAACTGACGCTTAAAGTTATTGAGGGAGATAAGAGTCTCCAGCTTCAGAGATTTTTGCAATTCGTTCCAGTCATTAGCAGCAGAGAACTGGAAGGAATGGCGGCCAAAGGGAGGTTTTGATAGTAGGAGTTGGGATTATGCCCGTTCATTGTTTGCTAGCTACATTTCTAAACAAGACTCCACTTCGCCAGATGATTACATGACCCATCAAGCCATCTCTGGATGAGAGCGTCTGCTAAATGACTTCATTGTGTCCATGTCTAGACAATAGTGACCCGTCCACTCAGCTAGATGTGGCTGGGTGGTGGTTATAGCTTTTATTTCACATGACCCATCAATCAGCTGGGCTAGACAATCTGGACACTTTCTTTCTAAAATTAGCCGCCGAAATTGTCGCAACCCCTATTACTAGTCTGTTCAACCTCTCTTTCGTAACGTCTGAGATCCCCAGAGATTGGAAAGCTGCCGCGGTCATCCCCCTCTTCAAAGGGGGTGACACTCTAGATCCAAACTGCTACAGACCTATATCCATCCTGCCCTGCCTTTCGAAAGTATTTGAAAGCCAAGTTAACAAACAGATCACCGACCATTTCGAATACCACCGTACCTTCTCCGCTATGCAATCCGGTTTCCGAGCTGGTCATGGGTGCACTTCAGCCACGCTCAAGGTCCTAAACGATATTATAACCGCAATCGATAATAGACAGGACTGTGCAGCCGTCTTCATCGACCTGGCCAAGGCTTTCGACTCTGTCAACCACTGCATTCTTATTGGCAGACTAAATAGCCTTGGTTTCTCAAATGACTGCTTCGCCTGGTTCACCAACTACTTCTCAGATAGAGTTTAATGTGTCAAATCGGAGGGCCTGTTGTCTGGGCCTGTGCCAGTCTCTATGGGGGTGCCACAGGGTTCAATTCTTGGGCCGACTCTTTTCTCTGTGTATATCAATGATGTCGCTCTTGCTGCTGGTGACTCTCAGATCCACCTCTACGCAGATGACACCATTTTGTGTACATCTGGCCCTTCATTGGACACAGTGTTAACAAACCTCCAAACGAGCTTCAATGCCATACAACACTCCTTCAGTAGCCTCCAACTGCTCTTAAACACTAGTAAAACTAAATGCATGCTCTTCAATCGAACGCTGCTGGCACCCACCCACCCGACTAGAATCACTACTCTCGGCGGGTCTGACCTAGAGTATGTGGACAACTACAAATACCTAGGTGTCTGGTTAGACTGTAAACTCTCCTTCCAGACTCACATTAAGAATCTCCAATCCAAAGTTAAATCTAGAATTGGCTTCTTATTTCGCAACAAAGCCTCCTTCACTCATGCTGCCAAACATGCCCTCGTAAAACTGACTATCCTACCGATCTTTGACTTCGGCAATGTCATTTACAAAATAGCCTCCAACACTCTACTCAGCAAATTGGATGTAGTCTATCACAGTGCCATCCGTTTTGTCACCAAAGCCCCATATACTACCCACCATTGTGACCTGTACGCTCTCGTTGGCTGGCCCTCACTACATATTCATCGCCAAACCCACTTGCTCCAGGCCATCTATAAATCACTGCTAGGCAAATCCCCGCCTTATCTTAGCTCATTGGTCACCATAGCAGCACCCACCCGTAGTCTGCGCTCCAGCAGGTATATCTCACTGGTCATCCCCAAAGCCAACACCTCCTTTGGCCGCCATTCCTTCCAGTTCTCTGCTGCCAATGACTGGAACGAATTGCAAAAATCTCTGAAGCTGGAGACTCTTATCTCCCTCACTAACTTTAAGCATCAGTTGTCAGAGCAGCTTACCGATCACTGCACCTGTACACAGCCCATCTGTAATTAGCCCACCCAACTACCTCATCCCCATATTGTTATTTATTTTGCTCATTTGCACCCCAGTATCTCTATTTTCACATCATCTTCTGCACATCTAGCATTCCAGTGTTAATACTAAATTGTAATTATTTTGCACTATAGCCTATTTATGGTCTTACCTCCAAAACTTACTACATTCGCACACACTGTATATATATATATATATATTTTCTGTTGTATTTTTTTGACTTTCTGTTTTGTTTTACCCCATATGTAACTCTGTGTTGTTGTTTTTATCGCACTGCTTTGCTTTATCTTGGCCAGGTCGCAGTTGTAAATGAGAACTTGTTCTCAACTGGCTTACCTGGTTAAATAAAGGTGAAATAACATAAATAAATAAATAAATAAATGTTTAGACAAGTGTGTCTGGGTAAGCGTCATCTAATAATTAAAATATTTTTATCTGGACACTTTCTGATATTGCTACTATGCAAATAACCATTCCACTGTACCGTTTACACCTTCTGTATCCTGTGCGTGTGACAAATTAGATTTTATTTGATATAGTGTGTGTTCACCAGAGACCGTAATGTGAAGAACAACATGACCTGCACCAAAGTCAGATTAGGATATCGGCCAAGTGTATTTTTACCTGGAGTTTTTCCTTATCGTAGGCTTATCGTGGAGGGATGAGGAGGAGGAGGAGGGATGGAGAGGAGGGATGAGGAGGGATGGAGAGGAATAATGAGGAGGAGGGATGAGGGATGGATGGATGAGGAGGGGATGGAGGGATGAGGAGGAGGAGGGATGGATGGATGAGGAGGAGGAGGAGGGATGGATGGATGAGGAGGAGGAGGAGGGATGAGGAGGAGGGATGGGAGGGATGAGGAGGAGGGATGGAGGGATGGATGGAGGAGGAGGAGGGATGAGGAGGAGGAGGGATGAGGAGGGGTAGTAAGACAGAAGGGAGTAAAGGGCCAGCTAGACCAGAGAGACTGATTGGGACAGACAAGTGGACTATCACTTACGTCTCCTCAACATGGATGGGATCCATGGGGCTGGGGGAATCCATACCAAGACCTGGAGGAAGATGTTCATCTGATAGTTAACAGTTGACTAGTTAAAATCATAACACATTTACCCACAGGTCTACAAGGTGACACAGAAGTGAATGTTAAATCATGTACATTTAGCCTTTTATCCTGTATTGTCCTGTACTGGCAAAAAAAATAATAACCCTACACATGTGTTGAAGGTGGTGAAACTGCACAACTGGAAACAGCATAATTAAAAACAGGACATGGTAATACAACGCCTATATGGGCTGCACATAAAAATATATATACGACCGTTTAAATAGCAAGCCAAGTTCCTACTGCCAGCATTTTATTGACACTTATTGGGGTGAAACATTTGCAGCCATCTTATTATATGCCTTACCAGCATCCGAGGAGCAGTCGGAGGCGAAGGAGGGAATCTTCAGAAGGGGCACACGTTTCCTCTTGGGAGTATCACACTGTTGGCTGTAAAGGAAAAGGTTACATAATCACTGAACTTTTTAACAACCAGCAAACAAGCAATTTTCATTAGCTTGAAACAGCTAGCTAACTAGCTGGGGAGTATTATTTAAACCGATTCTGTTGCAAAACGTTTTTTTAAACTGAAGCGAACGAAACGCGGAGGGAGGGACGTACCTAGATTTGTTCAACAGAAACTCTAGTTTAGTTGCAAGACGGGTTGGACCAATGATCGGGTTTGGACTAATTCTTATAAAAATAACCCTTCCACAACCCTACCGCTTCACCCCCGTTTCCTTTCAACAAATGCATATGTACAATCTCTAGGAACTCTACTTACCTGATGTAAAGTGAAATGTGTCCCTCGCTATCAAACACACGTCCAAACCGCACCATATTCCTGCTGTGTAAATTAGACCGTGGTAGAACTTGGAAATGTTGCGTGAAGTGCGCGGTCTAGTAATGACAGCCCACTGTCTAACTCAGCAGGAATATGGTGCACTTTGGACAAAAGCTGGATTCAGACGTTTATTTGATCGCGAGTGACTTCACTTTACATCTGGTAAGTCCTGTAGCTAGCTAGATAGAGTTCGTAGAGACTATACATATGCCTTTGTTGACAGGAAACGTTTTTGTGGTGAAGCCGGCTATATTGTGGTAGGGTTATTTTCTGTCGCCAGCCACTAGAACAACGCACAACTCAGGTTAGTCCAACCGATACAGACTCCCGACGTTGTGTCCCAAAGCAGCGTTCACACTCAAGTTTTAGCTAGCATGAAAACAACATAGCTAGCTAGCATAGCAACATACATTGTATTACACTCTTACCTGCCAAGTCCAGCTAGATTGTTCATGTTTAGGGCCAGATTAGTGACCGGAGACAGTACAGTTGTGGGTCCAGGAGAGAAGAGATTCTTCTTGATGAAAGGAGAGGCCATCATGTCGGGCAGCGACAGCGAGGAAAGCCCTGAGATTCTGTCCGACCTGCTGGTCAAGCGAGTGGTGATTGGGCTGAAATCGTTGGTAACGTTTCCAAAATCCATTCTTACAAGGTAAATCCAATGATAGTTCCTTGAATCGAATTCAATTTAGATACCTGTCAGGAAGGCCAAAATATCGGTGAACGGAGACAGGCCGAAAGATCAAGCTAGCTAACCAAATGAGGAAATTTGCAGAATGAGTGTGAAGAGTAATAAAGGCAAAACAACCATGGCAAGCTGTTTGCAGACCCCGTCTTGGAAAACCAAAAGTAAAAAATTAAAATAATCTTGCCTAAAAGTACATACTTTAAATCCTGTCAGAGAGCTGCACTGCCGTGTACTCTCCCTGACAGCCCCAACTCTGAGAAAGAAAATGCAGCTGACTGTATTTATGTTCAAAATAGAAGCTCACGAGCACCAACGCTTTCGGCAAATCAGAGACGTCGTTACATCCTGCACGTCCAATCAGAGACGTCGTTACATCCTGCACGTCCAATCAGAGACGTTTCCCTTTCTGCGCGTTGTCTGGCAGGAACATCGCTAGTGTTATTCGGGATCATTGGGACGTCCATACCTTAACCCTTACCCTAACATTAACCATAACCTTCATCGTAACCTTTACCTTAACCGTTTTCAATTCTACTTCAATGGGGTGACGTAAGAGTTAGAAGGTCCCAAGGATTCAGTTTAGACTTTTCAGCATGGTCCCCTGTAGCTCAGCTGGTAGAGCATGGCGCTTGGTAGTGGGTTCGATCCCCGGGACCAACCATACGTAAAAATGTATGCACACATGACTGTAAGTCGCTTTGGATAAAAGCGTCCGCTAAATGGCTTATAATAATATAATAATAATAATATGGAAAGGGATGTCATTTTCGTGACATACTCGTCTACGAACCAATCAAATTCATGACAGCAGCATAGTCATGACAGGTAGCCAATGAGATGCATATTCTTTCATTCGAGGGGCGGATGCAGAACGAGAATGCGACATATTTCCACTGACGTGTAACAAAGATTATGGCTATACTGACAAGATAACATGTCTCTCCACCATAACAATGGGAATCGCTCCCGCCTATCCTTTCTTTGGATTGGTGGAGACAATTGTTATTGTCAATTTTTGAATATTCAATAAGGGTTGTTGACTTCAACCGCCTGTATTCAATGGCGAGAGACGCGATACTACGAGCCTCATGACATTCATATGCATAGATATCTCGAGACAACTCCTATATAAGGTGTTTTTTTCTCAAAGTTGCCGGGATGTCACGTGTCCTACTTATATCAGTACATTCGTGACAAATTTAAGCATGACGAAACTTCTATTAAATCAAATAAACTTCACGTAGCAAATATGCCATTCATTTTTGTTGTTGTTGACCAAATTCAACACTCTCATTGATCTCCATACAAAAACGATTTGCCCTGGTGGGGCGAAACAACGAATGAATGCCACCTGGTGGAGGGAGACAGATTTCCCCCCGAGTTGAGCCTCTCTCTTCCTCTTCGTCTCCGTGGATAATAAACGCATTTTTCCCGCGGAAGATTTGAAGCGCCAGTTTGAGAATAACCACATGACCAACACAGCCAATCACACAGCAAGACCATTCATATGGCAAAGACAGAACGATAGGCACAGTTTGCTATAGGTCAGTTTGCTATAGGTGGTGGGTTTATGCTGAAAACGGTGAAGGTGATCGAGCTATATGTCGAAGAAAGAGCTGAATTTTTTTTCTATATTACAACGTTTCCATTCACAGCTTTTATGCAAGTAAAGTCATACCGTCTATATACATTTTTAAAAATCAAGACAGCTGTGATGGAAACAGGAAGTTTCAGTACAAATGTATTAATGCAGACAGATCATTTGCGCGTTGGAAATTTGATTTTTTTGTGGGGGATTGGGGGAAAAATTCATTATGCGAGAAATGGCGGTGGAAACTCCTTTATGCGCAAATATTGATATACACCTGAACAAAAATATGAACGCAACATGTAAAGTGTTGGGCCCATGTTTCATGAGCTGAAATAAAATATCCCAGAAATTTTCCATATGCACAAAAGGTTATTTCTCTAAAATGTTGTGCACAAATTTGTTTACATCGCTGTTAGTGAGCCTTTCACCTTTGCCAAGATAATCCATCCACCTAACATGTGTGGCATATCAAGAAGCTGATTAAACAGCATGATCATTACACAGGTGCACCTTGTGCTGGGGACAATAAAAGGCCACTCTAAAATGTGCAGTTTTGTAAAACAACACAATGCCACAGATGTCTCAAGTTGATGGAGCATGCAATTGGCATGCTGACTGCTGTTGCCAGATAATTTAATGTTCATTTCTCTACCATAAACCACCAACATCCTTTTAGAGAATTTGGCAGTACGCCCAACCGGCCTCATCACCGCATACCACGTGTATGGCGTCGTGTCGGAGAGCGTCGTGTGGGCGAGCGGTTTGCTGATGTCAAAGTTGTGAACAGAGTAACCCATGGTGGCGGTGATGTTATGGTGTGGGTAGGCATAAGCTACGGACAACGAACACAAGTGCATTTTATCGATGGCAATTTGAATGCACAGAGATACCGTGACGAGATCCTGAGGCCAATTGTCGTGCCATTCATCCGCCGCCATCACACCCACATGTTGCAAGGATCTGTACACAATTCCTGGAAGCTGAAAATGTTTGGGATGCTCTGGATCGACGTGTAAAACAGCGTGTTCCAGTTCCAACTTCGCACTGCCATTGAAGAGGAGTGGGACAACATTCCACAGGCCACAATCAACAGCCTGATCAATTCTATGCGAAGGAGATGTGTCGCGCTGCATGAGGCAAATGGTGGTCACACCAGATACTGTCTGGTTTTCTGATCCACGCCCTTACATTTTTTATAGGTATCTGTGACCAACATATGCATATCTGCATTCCCAGTCATGTGAAATCCATAGATTAGGGCCTAATGCATTTATTTCAATTAACTTATTTCCTTATATGAACTGTAACTCAGTAAAATCTTTGACATTGTTGCATCTGTGATAATGGCGCTGGAGGGGATGGCTGCCGTTTTATGGACTCTTAACCAACCGTGCTATTTTGTGTGTTTTTTCGCATTGTTTGTAACTTATTTTGTACATAATGTTGCTGCCACCGTCTCTTATGGCCGAAAAGAGCTTCTGGACATCAGAACAGCGATTACTCACAAATCATTTTTATTTAATGAGTTGGACGAGAGGGATTTGCTCCAGACACCCGACAGGGCCCTCATCCCCGTCATTCACAGTAGAAAGAAAAGGAGATATCGCGGAAGGAGATCGGGGTGCTTGGTAAGGAGCCGGCGACGAGTGGCTAATCTGCCTTTGCCATCGATACTATTGGCCAACATACAATCGCTTGATAATAAAGTGGACGAACTACAGGCACGTACAGTTGAAGTCGGAAGTTTACATACACTTAGGTTGGAGTCACTAAAACTCGTTTTTCAACCACTCCACAAATTTCTTGTTAACAAACTATAGTTTTGGAAAGTCGGTTAGGACATCTACTTTGTGCATGACACAAGTAATTTTTCCAACAATTGTTTACAGACAGATTATTTCACTTATAATTCACTGTATCACAATTCCAGTGGGTCAGAAGTTTACATACACTAAGTTGACTGTGCCTTTAAACAGCTTGGAAAATTCCAGAAAATGATGTCATGGCTTTAGAAGCTTCTGATAGGCTAATTGACATCATTTGAGTCAATTGGAGGTGTACCTGTGGATGTATTTCAAGGCCTACCTTCAAACTCAGTGCCTCTTTGCTTGACATCATGGGAAAATCAAAAGAAATCAGCCAAGACCTCAGACATTTTTTTGTAGACCTCCACAAGTCTGGTTCATCCTTGGGAGCAATTTCCAAACGCCTGAAGGTACCACGTTCATCTGTACAAACAATAGTACGCAAGTATAAACACAATGGGACCACACAGCCATCATACCGCTCAGGAAGGAGACGCATTCTGTCTCCTAGAGATGAACGTACTTTGGTGCGAAAAGTGCAAATCAATCCCAGAACAACAGCAAAAGACCTTGTGAAGATGCTGGAGGAAACAGGCACAAAAGTATCTATATCCACAGTAAAACAAGTCCGATATCGACATAACCTGAAAGGCCGCTCAGCAAGGAAGAAGCCACTGCTCCAAAACCGCCATAGAAAAGCCAGACTACGGTTTGCAACTGCACATGGGGACAAAGATCGTACTTTTTGGAGAAATGTCCTCTGGTCTGATGAAACAAAAATAGAACTGTTTGGCCATACTGACCATTGTTATGTTTGGAGGAAAAAGGGGAAGGCTTGCAAGCCGAAGAACACCATCCCAACCGTGAAGCACGGGGGTGGCAGCATCATGCTGTAGGGGTGCTTTGCTGCAGGAGGGACTGGTGCACTTCACAAAATAGATGGCATCATGAGGAAGGAAAATTATGTGGATATTTTGAAGCAACATCTCAAGACATCAGTCAGGAAGTTAAAGCTTGGTCGCAAATGGGTCTTCCAAATGGACAATGACCCCAAGCATACTTCCAAAGTTGTGGCAAAATGGCTTAAGAACAACAAAGTAAAGGTATTGGAGTGGCCATCACAAAGCCCTGACCTCAATCCTATAGAAAATGTGTGGGAAGTACTGAAAAAGCGTGTGCGAGCAAGGAGACCTACAAACCTGACTCAATTACACCAGCTCTGTCAGGAGGAATGGGCCAAAATTCACCCAACTTATTGTGGGAAGGTTGTGGAAGGGTACCCGAATCGTTTGACCCAAGTTAAACAATTTAAAGGCAATGCTACCAAATACTAATTGAATGTATGTAAACTTCTGACCCACTGGGAATGTGATGAAAGAAATAAATGCTTAAATAAATAATTATCTCTACTATTATTCTGACATTTCACATTCTTAAAATAAAGTGGTGATCCTAACTGACCTAAAACAGGGAATTTTTACTGGGATTAAATGTCAGGAATTGTGAAAAACTGAGTTTAAATGTATTTGGCTAAGGTGTATGTAAACTTCTGTCTTCAACTGTATATCCTACCAACGGGACATTATAAACTGTAATATGTTATGTTTCACGAGTCGTGGCTGAACGAAGACATGACTAACATAGAGCTGGCGGGTTATACACTGCATCGCCAGGATAGAACAGCAGCCTCTGGTAAGACAAGGGGTGGGGGTCTGTGTATATTTGTAAACAACAGCTGGTGCACGATATCTAAGGAAGTCTCAAGGTTTTGCTCGCCTGAGGTAGAGTATCTCATGATAAGCTGTAGACCACACTATTTACCAAGAGAGTTTTCATCTATATTCTTCGTAG